TGGCTTGGATTTCTATTATTCCTTTGTGACAAGAGACATTGTAAGAGGGGGTTCCCGTGAGCCAGTTGCAATTCGCACAACTTTGGGTTGGGTCTTCTGTGGGCCAACAGGTGGTCATGGCCAAGAATGCACTGTGTCTATGAATGTTCAAATTAGTGTTGAAGAACAATTGAATGAAACACTTCAAAAGTTCTGGGATTTGGAGTCCATTGGTGTCAGACTTGCTGAAAGTTCAATTTCTACTACTCATGCAGAAGATGTGGTCTTGAAGAAGTTTAAAGAGACACTAACATACAATGATGGTCGCTATGAAGTATCCTTACCATGGAAGGAAGATTGCATTTCATTGAAAGATAATTACCGGCAAGCGGAAAGTAGGTTGTACAATCTAGAAAAGAAGCTGCTCCATGAGCCAGTGAAAGCTGCATCGTACAGAGAAGCGATTAACAAGTATGTTGAGAACGGTGTTGCTGAAGAAGTACCTTGTGATGAAATTACACCAACAGATGGGCGTCCGGTGTTCTATCTCCCTCATCATGCGATCATCAGGGAAGACAAGCAGACAACCAAGACAAGAGTTGTGTTTGATGCATCAGCGAAAGATAGCAATGGTGTCTCTCTGAACAGCTGCTTAGAGCCAGGCCCAGCATTACAGCCAGATTTGGTCGGAATTCTTCTGCGTTTTCGAAAGAATTATGTTGGTATCATGGGTGACATAGAGAAGATGTTCTTGCAGATTCGGTTAAAAGAAGAAGACAGAGATTCACACCGGTATCTGTGGAGAGATTTGGACCCCAAGGCCACGCCTAAGATTTACAGAATGACAAGGGTCACATTTGGAGTTGTTTCCAGTCCGTTTCTTGCCATTGGCACTATTCAAGAGCATGTGAAAAGGTGTAAAGAAACATTCCCTGTTGCATCAAATGAAATCTTGAGGAACACTTATGTTGATGACTTTGCTTCAGGGAGAGACAATGTGCAGGAAACGCTGAAATTACAGCGAAGTGCTACTGAGCTTATGCAGAAAGCTGCCTTTAATTTGACAAAATGGTCAAGCAATTCATCTGAGCTTATGGAGGCCATACCAGAGAGGGACAGAGCAGCAGTTAGTCTTGTCAGCCTGGAAAGTGATCTAGCAGAAGCACATCCAATCACAAAAGCATTAGGATTAAAGTGGAATACACTTACTGACAACCTTGTCTTTACAATTGATGTGGACATTGTTAAGTCGAGATCAAAGACAGTGTACACTAAAAGAAAGGTGGCGTCTTTAGCAGCAAAGATATTTGATCCGATTGGTCTAATCGCACCCTTTTCAGTGAGGTCAAAATTAATTCTTCAAAGCTTGTGGACCAAGGGTGTTGGATGGGATGAGGAAATTCCCATGGAAGTCTCATCGAAATGGAATCAGTGGGTTCAAGAGATTTCTGAACTTGGACACCTTCAAATTTCTAGATGTTACACTGATTTGCCATTAGGTCAGAACCCCAAAGTAGAGCTACACGCATTTGGTGATGCGTCAGAAGTTGCTTATGCCTCTGCAGTTTATCTGAGAGTTGTTTGTGAAGATGGAAGGGTATCTACCAGTCTTGTGATGTCCAAGACCCGAGTGGCTCCTGTAAGGAAGATTACCCTACCGCGCTTAGAGTTGATGGCTGCTGTAATTACTGCTAGACTTTGCACCTATGTCAAAGGTGCAATAGATTGTCCCATTAGCCGCATTGTTTGTTGGACAGACAATTCTTCAACGTTACACTGGATTAGAGGAGCAGCCTCACAGTGGAAACCATTTGTTGCTAATCGTGTTATTGAAATTCAGTCGTTGCTGGATCCCAGTGTTTGGAGGTATTGTCCAGGACCGCAGAACCCAGCTGATCTACCTACCCGAGGTTTATCTGCAAGTCAGTTACGAGAGAGTCATTTGTGGTGGAAAGGACCCTCTTGGTTGCAAGAGTCCGAAAAAGATTGGCCCGAGGATTTAAGGTCAAAACCCTCCAGTGAAATTGTTAACCCAGAGAGGAAGAGTAAAGCTAGTGTCAGTTGTGTTGTGCAACCCAAAGAGCCGTTTATTGACTTCACAAGATTCAGCAAGTATAGTCGCTTGCTAAGAACTGTTGCTTGGATCAGAAGATTCGTTAGCAACTCAAGAGTGAAAGAAGAGGAAAGAATTGACAGCCCTTTAACTGGTTTAGAGATACAAAATGCAGAAGAATGGTTGATATCTCATGTACAAGAAGCAGGTTTTCCTGAAGAAATTGCGTCATGTAAACAGCATGGTCCAGTGAAGGACAGCAACCTTGCCAATTTAAACCCGTTTATGTGTCCGACTAGTCATTTTCTTCGTGTTGGAGGAAGAATTCACAAGTCACTGTTGCCAGAAGAGGAGAAACATCCTATTATCCTGCCTTCTAACCATCCTGTTGTTAAGTTGTTAATTGATGATATTCACAGCCGTGAACTACATGCTGGAGTTGAACACACTTTGTCACTTTTGCGACAGAGATTTTGGGTGATCAAGGGACGATCGACCGTCCGTCAGACACTAAGGAACTGTCTAATTTGTCGCCATTACCAAACAAAACCCTTTGGTCAGCAGATGGCACCACTTCCTGAAGACAGAATTAAGCCTGCACCACCGTTCACTAACGTGGGTCTAGACTTTGCTGGTCC